ATATACTTAAGTATATTCTGCTTTAAAATTAGTCCTATATTTTTGTTTTTTACTCGAGGATTCAACCTCTACCGTTTCACAGGATGCACAGCTTTGAGTGGTAACTAGGTGACTGCAGAGAGTAACGCGAAACTTATCGGACTGATCCAATTAGCCCTCTGACAACCAGTCGCCTGAAACGCTCGTTGAACAGAGCATCGCTTTGGACAGATATGCTGCAAAGGTTTCACCATCAACCTCCTACTCACATCCCGCTCTCTCTCTCTTGTTGTTCCTGCGAAATCGCAGTAGTTCTAATCCGCACATGATGCACAAATTATTGTATTGCCTGCTCGCTCTCACTCGCAGTTAAAAAAAAATACCACCTTGCAGAGTGTAAAATCCGGGATAATTTATCCGACTAGCGGGCATCAATGAACAACTATCTATATCAGAGAGACTCCCGGAACTTCCGGGAGACTTGGGATATCTGAGGTGTGTAGGAAAATAGTTTGTTTTTTATTCTAATTTGTTTTACATAAATTGAGAAATCATTGAAACAACTCAAAAAATGTAACTTAATGTAAGAAAGGAAGGGAAAAAAAGGCCGGAAATAGATGCTGGCATTCAGGGATAATTTATACTAGTGTTGCACCTCGATACCTGGCTGTGCAGTATCGTTCGATACGACACCATACCGATACCATCTGTTTGAAATTGATGTGTGTGTGTATAAATGAAGGCCTGTGTATTACTTGGATGTAAAATAATTGCCATCATGGCTTTGTCAAGCTGTTGCCTTTTTTTGTGAAGCAGGAAAAAAGACTGGTGTGTTTGGTAGTTGCAGATAACCATTTTAGTAGCCTAGTAAACTAGCCCCACCCGCCAGCGGCCTAAATAATTTTTGCCTGCGAGTGGTCTAGCCTTGATCAATGCCCCAGGTCCCAGAATTGGCGGGCCAATCACAACGCAGAGATGTGTTTTGAATTTCTGGATGCAAAGCGGGCGGGGTTTTGAAGGTGTGACGACAAAAATGCGTGATGCTGGAAGAAGCACAACAAGGAAGACGTCAACAACTATTGAACAGTTCTCGTTTGACTCAGCTTTGGGATCACTTTTGGAAGGATTAGACTTGGGGTTTTTCGTTGAAACGTGAGCAGGAAGAGGCTCTATGCTCAGTAATTTTTAAGAAGGACGTATTTCTGTCTCCTTGAACCCCAGTCGGCCTCAGCAGATGGCCGCTCACACTGAGCCTGGTTCTGCTGGAGGTTTCTTCCTGTTAAAAGGGAGTTTTTTTCCTCTCTACTGTTGCTACAAGCATGCTTAGTGTGAGGGATTGCATTCAAGTCAATAAGTTGATGCAATCAACTGGTTTTCCTTAGAAAACTTTGAATCATTTTGACTGTATGATCTGGTTGAACTGTAAAGTGCCTTGATATGACGTGTGTTGTGAATTGGCGCTATAGAAATAAACTGAATTGAATTGAAATTGAATTCACAGTTTTACCAACAGGCTGTTTGGGAATGTTACAAAACAACTTGTATTGAATGTTCTGCCTTTCAACTATAAGATTAGATGCCAGCAAACTCCCCACTTATAAGTTCTTTAAACAGTCATTAGAATAGAATAGAATAGAAAATCCCTTCATTGGCCCACAAGGGGGGAATTCTGGTGTTTACAGCAGCAAAAAGATTATAGAAAAAATGGTCACACAAATGTGGACCTTAGAATAACATAATGGCGAAGAGTTAAAAAATAAAGAATAAAATACTTTACTGTGAAGTGTTTTAACAATATAAATAAAACTGCACCTGGAGGATAAATAACCAATATCCAGCTATGGACATTTTTACAGTAATGGATATTTGAAAATGGCAGCAACATGAGAGATGTGCAAAAATGACAGCAGCAGTTATTTAGCTGACTAAGGTTGAAACTGCTAAATCAGCCTGATTAAATCATGAAATCAAAGTTTAGTTTGAGCTATTGAAAAGTGTTTATTTACCATATTTTTTTTATTTCTATTTTTTTTTTTTTATACACATGTCCTTGATGTCCTGTTTGCCCTATTTATTCAAGTACTATCATGTTCAGGTAAATCCAACATAGTTGTGTTGGTCCAATATTTCCGCAATAAGCCCAGGCTTTGCTGCTAAAAAGAACATTTTCAACATTTCTCAAATCTGTAACCAAAGCTAGCTAATAACAAACAGATATCTAGGGGATTTCAGATCAGATGGTGTTATCATCAGCTAAGCTAGTGGAGCCCCACATTTATTGATAGAATTATAGCTACTCATGCCATCATAGCATTAGGATTTAATATTGCAGAAATTGTGTAATCAAACAAGACATTTAGTTTAACTTAAGGCCTCAAGTTCTTTGAAAATTTTCAAATATTTTTCTTTTAAATAAAAAGTGAAACTGAAGGTATATTAGGGACTTTCTGCCTTAGAACATGGCCAACAGATTTGATTTAAGAGCAGAAGAGAAACTGCACATTAAGAAACAAAACTGTCCTTCGTAAACCCAGATTTAATTTATTTAGTACATTTAACAGGAAGTATTAGCATTAATAATTGAATACAGTCAACGGAAAATTTGTTCCTGTATACTTTCCATGGGGGGGGTGTTACTGTGTCCCACCTGAACACATTATCTTTCCAGTTTTGTTTATATGTTAAGGAATGCAAGCACATTTCAAGAACAAATATACTTTTAAATCATTTGTTTTCAATTTTAAATCATTCAACATAAAGTGGAACAGCTGAGCTTTGGTTTGAATTTTTGGTTAGGGCAGCTCTTTGTTCATTTTAGTAGGTTCTAACATTCCTACATTTATTATGAATATAAGTTTTATAATCTATCCTTTTTGGTTTTTACACTTTAACAAGGAGCTTTATTTTTTAATACTGCACTGAAACAAATTTCTTGCCCTTGACTACAATGAGGTGTTAGACTGTCCAAGGAAAATGTAGCACAATCATAGGGTATTCCTGAGAGACTTTGTTTCTCTTTGAGTTGTTCACTGCGCCCCAATTTCAATCAACTATACATGGGAGTAGTGAAGTTTTACTTTTGCTGAAAAATTATTTTTTTTACTGTCATCGAGTTAATGAATTTCTTCGTATGAAACTGATGCCAGATGGGATGAATAAAGTTAGCCAAAAGGACATAACTTTGGCACATCTAGATTAAAGTGGTTTTCATTCTCTCATTAAGTTGGTAGGAATTAAGGTTGGTATCTGTTAAAACACGATGCCAAAGGAAGAAATGGTGAAAGAAAAATAAAGGCCAGATTATACTTCTGCGACCGCACACATTAAATGTCGCTTGCGTCTGGTCGTGAACCAGTTTTTCTGATATTCTTCTGCAACGTCGGTCTGGAATTTCAAGGGATGTACAGCAGTTTCCCGCCAAAGTGCAAGGTGGAGTCTATTCAAGAACTCGCGAGAACTTCGGCGGATGGCCACAAGAACTTCAGCGTCAGCGGGAGTGTTTTTCTTCCAAAACAATAATGGTGTGTCTGTAAGATATCACGGTTACGGAGATGGATC